AAAAAAAAAAGTCACTCTTTGGCTAATTAGGACATGCAGCTCTTATAGCCAGGATTATGAATTCCAACTCTGGCCAATCAACAGTTCCAAAAAAAATAAAATGGCTCCATACTTAGCTAGTTAACATCTTCCCATCCCTGGCGCTCTCTCTTTCTCACCAGCACTACCCTTGTCCCAGTTCTTGGAGATCCCATTAGTCTTAAAACCTTCCAAAGCTCTAGTCTCTTTATCTTCTCTTTTCCTATAACATCATCCTCAGGCCTATCCCAGCCACCCATTCCCACATCTGACCCTAGGCCAGGGCTTCTCAACCTCCACACTGTTGAAAACTGGGCTACACTGTTCTCTGCTCAGGGGCTGACTTATGCATGGCAGGATGTTTAGCACAGTCCCTGGCCTCTACTAGATGTCAGTGGTATCTTCTCCCCTTCCAGTTGTGGTAACCAAAAATGTCCCCAGACACCGAAACATCTCCTCAGGGCCAAACTGCCCATGGTTGAGAACCATGGCCAGAGACCCTATTATTAATACGAGCACCCCCTCCACATCTCAGGCTTCTCTACTCCCTGACTCCACCTCCTGTCTTTCCAGAGCACTTCCCCCAATACCCTGAGACTTTGTTGATCCTTCAGCCATAGCAGAACCTAAAATCCATCAACCCTCCAGTCTCTACGGTCTCTCATGCTCAGCACGTCTTCGTTTCGTCCTACTCAGATTGGTTCCATGGCGCATGACTGGTCTCATCCCCTGGCTCGCTCTCTCCCCTCCATGCACTCTCCTGGCCAGACCTCAACCCAATCCTCTACCCCCCGCCCCCCTGCATCTTCACCGAGGCAGTGGACTATAGATGGAGAAAAGCACACAATCCCACTGATTGGTTTCACCTGAAATTCAGGACCAGTAACTTCAAAGGGGGCTCTTAATGCTGCCCAGCAATCCTTCCCCATTTCCCTAGTCCATCTACTTGCCACTCTTTGAGAGGACTATTTCATACCTTCCTCCTCTCAAACCTCGACTTCCCACCCAAGACTGTGCTTCCTATTTCACTGAGAAAACAGAAGCAATCAGAAGAGAATGTCCCCAGGTCCCCAACTCCCTGTGGCTGCGCCCACAAGCTCTTCCCTTCCACCACCACAGGGAAACATCTGCGCTCCTCTCCAGGGCCGCCCCACTGTGCACAGGACCTCATCTTCTCTTGCCTAACTAAGGATGTCAATCCAGCAATTCTCCCTCTTTCTCCAGAATTTTTTACTCTCTCCCGAGTTACTGCCATCAGCCACATAACTGCCCATATTTATATTTATATCCCAGCTTTACGGGAAACAATCTTGACCCTGCATCTCCCTACCGCGATGGCTGTTTGTCCTCTTCTGTGCCCAATTTCTCTCCTTCCATATTCTCTTGAATAAACCCAATTCAGGCTTTTATTCCCAGGACTCCACTAAAACTCTTCTTGTTAAACAATCCGATGACTCCACGTGGCTAAATCAACAGTCAATTCTCAAATCCCAACATCTGACACAGTTGATCGCTCCCCACTTGGAACAACTTTTTCTCAGTTTGACTTCTGAAACATCACTCTTTGGTTCTCTTATCTCACTGCCTGCTCCTTTTCTAGTTCTCCTGACCTCCATATGCTGAAGAGTTCCAGACCCTTCCGCAGACCTCTTATCTCTACTTTTGATGGCCTCATTTAGTTTTAAGGCTGTAATTATCTCCTAAATGCTGATGACCCCTGTATGTGTACACACACACACACACACACACACACACACGCGCGCGCGCGCGCGCACGCGCATCTATGAACAACCTCACTTGGATCGAACTGGCATCTCAAATTATTATGTCCAAATTGAAATCCCGATTCCCACTCTCAAACCCACACCGTTCCATGGCCTCTTCCGTTTCAGTAAATGTCAGCACCAGCCTT